CAGAGGTCGCAGATACTGGTTTCTCGGGCGACCGGCGGCGGCTGCCTCATAAAGCAGATAAGTTATTTCAAATAACGTTAGATACGACAGTTTTTTTCCGCTCACTAAACCATTATAAAAGTGAGAATTTTGCACAAAAAAAACACTTGGGTGCCGTACCGCAAATTGATTTCATTATAGATTATACTAGCTGTGCCCTGCGGTTTATCAGGGATATTTTCCCGTGGTAAAACGTAGCTTATGTGTTAATTAAGGGTGTCAGCTAACTCCATATCTAATTTTATTGAAATCGCTCAAGCCGTTTGGACGTGAAGAAGTAACAAACATACACACTCACAAACTTTCGCCTTTATAGTATTAGTGTGATAGTGTGATTAGTGTGATTAGATTTGAGACAGGTAGTGAGTTTCTTGCTAGAATTGGAGCGCCCGTCTGGGGAAGTAAACTCCACCTTACAGAAGATCACAGTTAAATAACACTGCCTTTTAGTGGTTCTGTTCTGTTTCTCTTGGTGAGTAAAGTTCCAGGGCTCCACGGGGTAGGGGATGGGAAACGAATCCAGGGGGTTTTGGTATCGCAAGCGTCTATAGTTATGGTATGGTAAGGTACGGTATGGTATAGTATGGTACGGTATGGTATGGTATGGTATGGTATGGTATGGTATGGTATGGTATGGTATGGTATGGTATGGTATGGTATGGTATGGTATGGTATGGTATGGTATGGTATGGTATGGTACGGTATGGTATGGTATGGTATGGTATGGTAAGGTATGATATGGTATGGTATGGTATGGTGGCCGCTTACCATCAGGCGAGCTTACGCTTGCTTGCCACACGATTAACATAAAACAAAAATTATGTAAAATGAATCTTTTAAATAACATTTTTCCTACACGTGCGTTTTGTTTCCATGCGATATAATAGAAATACATAATAAACATCTATGACTGTAGTACAAATGCTCGTGTTCATCACGCAAACATCTGCCCCAACCGGGATTCGAACCCGGGACCTCACGAGGAGGCGACACCTTTAAACCCGCTCAGCCACGGAGATCGTCAAATACATATAGTAGGTACATTATATAAGTTAACGGACTCTGGAACAATTATTTTTTTCATGACACAAACAAAGCCTCTACCAGGATTCAAACCTAGGACGTTTAAACAGAATGCATCTAAATAAAGTTAGAAATTAATAAAATCCACTTTAAAAAAAACTACACTGATTCAAAAGGTCACGTGGAAAAAAATGCCTAATATTGGGCGTTTGACAAATAGGTTTTTTTTAAGAACGCCTTATTCTGGCATTCGGATAGCTTACGAACTGCGCGTGGCTCGATATGCATATAGCTGGTATATAGCTGTGTATGTACCCTTAGCACGAACGAATATCGAATTCGAATAGTTTGCGAGTGCGAAATGTCATTGTGAAATGTGTACTGTTCAAGTTTTCATACAAAATTCGACAATGTCATTTCGGACTCGTAAACTATTCGAATTCGATAATGGTTCGTGCTAATGGTACTGTTTATGTTAGCTAAATCTATTCATATAGTATGGCTACAGTATTTTGTGTAATATTGTTGAGTTGAACAACACACGGCTGTGTTCCTCTCTGGCCATTCACTTTGGCAACACTGCATGGCAATGATTCGAAATGCTTTCGACATAATTATACTTGCAATTATACTTATCTATACTAATATGAATTGAACCTAAAGAGTTTGTTTGTTTGATTGAACGCACTAATCTCAGAAACTTATGGTCCGATTTACTTTGTGTTGTATTTGAATATATAGCCTACAGTGGTGCCAATTCTAGCATGATTCTCTAAACCTAAACTTAAATTCAACAACAGGTGTAGCCTTATCATTATCTAGACAAAATGAAAAGCACAGAACAATTAAAAATTTAGTTTTAAGTTTAGAGAATCACGCTACGACAACGGCTAACTAGAGCCTAGTTCCAAATCTCAGAGATGTCTTCTAGTTGAGCCGACCCCCTCAGGTTCGAGTGGTCTAGAGGCTCCAGACGGAGAGGAGACTCCCCCCTTGCGGAGATGCCATCCACCTGGAATACCTCTAAAGGCACTCGCCAATTCTCCGCTTGACTTGAGGTCCCCCTCGGATCTCGCCGTCCCCAAAACCCGGTGACGCTGTAAAGGTCATCTGCGACCAATAGCATACACACTCAAAAAAAAGATTTTTAGATTTAGAATAACATAAAGGGGGGGCAAGCTTCCGAAGTCCTCCTATCAGACCTGATCCTGACTTCTGATTTTATCATCAGCCTATTAATGTCCCCACTGCTGGGGCACAGGCCTTCCCTATGAATGGAATAGGGAGATTGGACTTCTGATTTCCTAAACATAATTGCTTTTTATGCAATACGTATTTATTTTGTATGCCAGCGAATCACGAACACAAACAGAGTACAACACACATTCTCACTAACATGCCTACATACATTTGAAACCCGACCAAGACTCAGTTACGCAACCTTAAACTCATTTTGGAGTATCGAATGCATTTTATCTGTTATTTAGTTAGGCACACGGCACGCTTATGTTGCGATACAATCGGTGTTACAAATGAACCAGTATTTTATACAACAGATTATGGCATTGATAGTGCAATGCGTAATAAAATGTTATATAGATTACGGAAAACTTATTTGCAATTGGTGATTGCTTACTTGGTTGTTGTTAAAAGTTGGTACGAGCATTAATATGAGCTTTTAACAACATTTTTTCACGTCATTTTTTTCACATTAGTATGAACTTTTAACATCATCATCATCAGCCTATTAATGTCCCCACTGCTGGGGCACAGGCCTTCTCTATGGATGGAATAGGGAGATAGGGCCATGTACCACCACGCGGGCCCAATGCGGATTGGCGAGTGCTAACGACTGCAGATGCAGCCGGGACCAACGGCTTAACGTGCCTTCCGAAGCACGAAGAAACTGGAGATAGAAGATTTTTGGTCACCCATCCAATGACCGACCACTGCGAAAGTTGCTTAAATTCAACGATCGCAGCCGAACGCGCTAACCACTTGCGCCATCGAGCTCCTCACTTTTAACAACATTATTTCAATATTTTTCACGTTTTATGAATTAGCATGTTTGTCTGTCTATTTTACACTTAACAAAACACTTAGCCGTTTTTATAAAGTTTGTAGATAAAAATGGAATAGAGAAAGGGTCATTGGATACAGGCAATTGCTTTTCGTGATAAAAAAAATGGTGAATCCAGAGGATATATGAAAAACATCTAATGCTGAAGTTTATCAGAAGTTAAAGTCTATGATAATTAAATTATTATAATTTGCATAAAAAAATTATGTGACAGAAAATCCTATCGGTAAAATTATCGTTTTGAAGTAGGTATGTAGTCTTCGGGAAACATATGACCATTGCATATGACTCAAGTAATGGTATGTTATCATCACGAAAGACTATAATGTATACTTTGAAATATACTTAAACATCTTTGGGTAACATTGTTGCAAACTCGTTTTCGAATACCAAACTTTATTATTGTATTCTGGTTTTTTGAAATTCGCATGAGTCATCATAATCGTAACAATAATTTAAAATTTGGGCAAGTACACTAACATTGCTACTTTGAAATAAAATACGAGATTAATAATAGATTCTTTATAGGATCTAAATCACACTAATATTATAAAGGCCAAAGTTTGTTACTTCTTCACGTCTAAACGGCAGGAGCGATTTTAATAACATTTGGTATGGAGTTAGCTGACCCCCTGGATTATCACATAGGCTACGTTTTACTGCGGGAAAATATCCCTTATAAGCCGCGGGTAACACCGCGAGGCACAGCTAGTTAACAATAACTTAATTTCATACAATACCATAGAGTAACATGGATGTGATTGCGTCTGCATTTCTCTATGTATACATTTTTACTATACATTTATTAACTAAAAAAAACATTAAATTTTTTTTTTTTTGGATATTTTCACATCTGCAAATTTCAACTCACACCCAATTATAAATCATACAAGATTGTTTTCTAAGTAGAAATAATAAGATTCAGCGATTTCTATGCTTCCATAAATAATATGCTAATATAATCAAGCTCATTTGTAATTCTGCTTGTACAATAAATTTATTTGGTGATCGGCTAAGAATCGAAATGGTTTTCGCCACCTGGTTTATAATTATAAGTTGTGTAATTTGTGGTCATTTATAAAACGAATAAACCAAACTAAAAAAGTAAAAAAAAGCATAAAAAATATGTGAATTTAAATACATTATTACACACACAATAATTTTATAGGTTTTAAATGTATCATTAATATTTTATCTATTATTTATCGATTTTTTATTTTAGGTGCGATTAAGCAAATAATAATGTTAATGTTCTTCAAACTTAAAATAATAACACCGATTTGATTTGGATGACTGTTCACAAAATGTCGTTCGCACCTTTTTTGTGTCCAACGCGAAATTTTCTAAACAATGTTACATAATAAGGTAGAACTTTGAACTGTTACACTGCCGAATGTAACTTTTAAATATTAACACACTTCGAGTCATCGGTGATTCGCTGAATTCTGAACAGATTGTAGGTACCAAAAACAATCTGGGGGGGAAAACACATAATTAAATAGCACACACATAATTCATTCTGGTGCATTTTTGCTTTTTGTAAAAGCCTTTTTATAAGTAAATTTTAAAGAATAATAAATAACTTTTATTACTTGTGTTAGTTTTAAAAAAGTTTTTTTTTTTATAAATAACAAGATTTTAACATCAATCAAGACCAATGTTGCATTACTGAAAAAATAATTTACCTACAAAACAAACATAAACGGAACTTTCAACTTTAAACCAAATTACTAACACGCGTTCAAATCAAACTGACCATAAACACGAGAGACAAGAACCGAACGAAACCAATGAGAATTCCGCAACACTTTCAGTACCTATACTACACAGCCATTGCGCAACCGCTTACACAACTTACCCGATTTCAGAGAGAGGGTGGGCCGGGGCAGGAGAAACAAACACTTTCTGTACACTTTTCAGCCATGCACTTTATCCATCACTTCGAATTGAAAAAACAACGAGAAGAAAAAATTGAAAAAAAAAACGGAACGCAAAAATCCTTCGTTAAGAAAATTAAAAAAAGAAAAGTCACAGATTAGTTGTATTCACAAAAGGCGCGAAAAGATGTTCTTTTTTTCGAAAATAGTTTTTCGGCGTCCCCGTCACACGCGCGACAGATTTTTTCCGCGTTGGAAAACTGAGCCGCGCGACGCGTGGTGCGCAAGCGACGGCGGGCGAACGACTGGCAGCGCGTTTACCCCCCACACTGTTAAACATTCGCTTTGACAGAGTGGGGCAGTCCAAGGAGGTTTTTCGGAAAAAAGCCGCTTATTTTTTTCGCCTCCCATATCTCAGACTAGGAGCGATAGGAAAACTTTCCTTTCCTGTCTTTTGTAAAGATCTTTGAACTGGGACGGGGTACTTTCGGGAGCTTAATGTTATTTGTATTATTTAATTAAGATCCTGTATCTTTTCCGGATATCCGGTTAGCGACATAGCACTCGCCCAATGCCAAATTCTTAGCGTTCAAAGCGTGGCTTACGGGGACTAAATTACATTTGTATATGAAATTTAGCGTCAATCTTTTATGGTATGTGTGTGACGTGAAAATATGTACATTATAACTTCTGATTATCATTTATTGTTATATTTATTAGTCTTATAAAAAATAAGAACAAAAATACAAGAAAAGTAGGGAAGAATATGAGCGAAAATATTTTAAGAGAATTTTGACTCGAATTGGAGCGCCCGTCTGGGGAAGCACAGATAGTGCAATCCACGAAGATGCGCTCCACCAATTTTTTTTTTTTTTTTAAGTTATAGGTGGCATACGAGCAGACCTGGTGGTAAGTGATCACCATCGCCCAATGTTATGGTTGGAGGATAATAAATGATAAAAAGATAATTCGATAATTGTGATCAAGGGGCTGGCAGTTATTTCGCGCAGGGAATCAGTTTAGCCATTCAGCGAGGTAATGCTGTTAGTGTTGTGGGTACCATGCCCCAAATTGGAATTTTGGATGACATATTCTATAGAGGCTAATACCTCCTTCTATAGAGGATAAAAAGCCGCGAGTGAGGGCCGTGGTAGCATAATTGGTCAGTGCATTCGCCCGGATTGCGAAGGGTGCGGGTTCGAGTCCCGTCTGCTGCTTGGTCCGCGTGGAATTTTTTCTAGTTATATTTACTTTACATATAAGTCTTTAAATTAATTAATAAATCTTCATCATCATAATAGGATTCTTAGTTCCTGATTTCATCATCTAATAAGAAACAGAGTTTTAGTACATTAAGAATAACTTTACATCTCTGACCTTGCGCTCAATTATATAGAATTTCATATATTTTTTATGATATGTATATTATTTTTCCCTATCCCATCCATAGGAGGGGGGGGGGGGCTGTGCTCCAGCAGTTGGGACGTTAATACACTGATGATGATGATAATTAAGAATTTATAATACTGTCAAACTTCAGACGGTTAAAATAACATAAAATCTTTATAAATCTTTATTCATAGCGCAGTCATTCACTGTCAGGTCGTCTTTTTCTACAAAATTGTCTTTACGTTGAGAGTAGAGGATCTTAAAAGCAATTGTTAGCGCTTTCGGACTATGATTTTGGAAATTAAGCAACCTTCGCAAAAGCCGCTTATTGGATGGGTGACGTTAATCCATTTTCCTGGTAATATCTTATGTCGTTAGCATCCCTAAATATGGGTCATGACCATTTGTTTCAATATGTGTAATGAAAGGAATGCGCCTGAGCAGTGTGGTTAATTAGTAGATAATATCAAATATGTTTAAATCGAAAGAAAAGTTTTTATTATGCTACCAAAAAGTTTTAAATTGCTACCACGGCTACTGAAGGCCGCGTCGAAATTTTCCTAGCCTTAAGCTGCAAGACAGCGCCATCTCTTCGCATTCTTTAAATTTAAACATCTAGCAGTTAAATGCTTAAAAAAATAAAAAAACATAATCAGATATTTTGTTTATAATAACATAATGTTGTGATGACACTAAATTTTGTTGTTAATTAATAATGTTTAATTTGTCCAAGAAGCTTTATCGGAAAACTATACCCTTAGCACGAACCAATATCGAATTCGAATAGATTGCGAAATGTCATTGCCAAATGTTGAATAGAAACTTGAACAGCAGCGCCACAGCGGACGTAACCAGAACCGAAAATCAGAACACATATGACGTTTAAATTAGGTCGAATTCAACTATTCGAATTCGATAACTGTACCCTTAGCACGAACCAATATCGAATTCGTATCGTTTGCGAGACCGAAATGTCATTTTCAAATGTGTACTGATTTAGTTTTCGTTTCGTACTATGTGGCGCTGTTGTTCAAGTATCCATACAAAATTTGACATTGACATTTCGCACTCGCAAACTATTCGAATTCGATAATGGTTCGTGCTAGGAGCACTGTACCCTTAGCACGAACCAATATCGAATTCGAATAATTTGCGAATGCGCAATGTCATTGTCAAATTATGTATGGAAACTTGAACAGCAGCACCACAACGGACGTAACCAGAACTAAAAATCAGTACACATTTCACGCATAAATTAGATCGAATTCAACTATTCGAATTCGATAACGGTTCGTGCTAGCAATGCTTTATCATTTAATATCACACGGGACACTCCGCTCTGTGAAAAAGACATCAACGCACCACGCTCACATTTTTTTATTAGGATGTACCAATAAATTTACTCTATCTCTTATCTATTAGACAAGTCCGTCTGTCTGTGGTGCTGTTTCAGCGGCCAAACCGTAAGAGATAGATAAAGAGAATATTTTAAGAATAGTCTGATAAGACTACAAACCGGATTTGAGTAACGTAGCACTTTTCGAGAAATCAGGTTTTGGTGAACATTTGGTTCACTGGTTTGCTAGTACGATTATAATGGGAATCATTCTATCCTAAAGTGCGTGACACACTTATACAATTCAAAATTTAGAGACATACATATATTTTTGGATCAAAACAGAAATTTAATAAAAATTATTTGAGGTTGACACTTTACCCAAATAAATAAATAACAAGTACCCTTGTAATTTTTTAAATATATATACATACTAGCGGACCCGACAGACGTTGTCCTGTCTACACGTCTTTGTGAATCTAAACCATTCTCAGATCCCCTTGAACACACACAAAAAATTTCATCAAAATCGGTCCAGTCGTTTAAGAGAAGTTCAGTGACATACACACTCACAGAAGAATTATATATATAAAGATTTATTGTTTATGTTATGCATATTTTTAATTCATTTTGGTTGATTGCAGATACATGAATGTTTATTAGACTCGTACCCAATTAGTGACTTTTCTCTGATAAAATCAAGTTTTCATTCCTTTCGCCCGCTTCGTTTCATCACTGAGGATTGAAGATTATTTCATCAATGTTTTTTTCTTTATTTTTATGTTTTCTTTGATATTGGTTCGTGCCAAGGGTACTGATAATTATTGATATTACTAGTAAACTTTTCTTTATATTTAAACATCTAGCAGTTCAATGCTTTAAAATAAATAAAAACATAACTATAATTGCTATTTCTTCTTTCAAATGTTTAATACTTGAAAAAGTATTCATTTGAAATTGTGGGTTACCTAAAATGCGAAGAGATGGCGCTGCCTTGCAGCTTAAGGCTAGGAAAATTTCGACGCAGCCAATAGGGCCGTGGTAGCATAATGGTCAGTGCATTCGCCCGGATTGCGAAGGGTGCGGTGCGGGGTTCGAGTCTCGTCCGCTGCCTGGTCCGCGTGGATTTTTTTCTAATAAACTTTTCTTTAGATTTAAACATCTAGCAGTTAAATGCTTAAAAATAAATAAAAACATAATAATTGACATTGTTTAGAAATTTTCACGTTAAACACAAAAAGTCCAGCACGGGTGTTATTAAGCAACCATTATAGGAAGTATCTATAAATAAACACCGCATCACACAATTCTGTGTCACAATGTGTCCAGCTCACGATCCGAGAAGATTACATCTGCCGATAAAGATGTATAGATTGTTTGAATACATGATGAATATATGTTTAATGTAAATTCTGGAATATACAATTAGTTTGCCTTTTATCATATTTCAAAATAGAAATAAACATAGGTTGTATATTTTTAAGCATTTAACTTCTAAGTAGATTTATAAATTTAAAGTATATTTTACCAGAATAAAATCCATGCGGTCCAAGCATCAGACGGGATTCAAATCCGTATCTTCCTCTATTAGGGCGGACACACTAAAATGTTTTTTAAATGACATGGTTTTGTTTATACAATGCCCAGTGAATGATGCCACCCCATCCGATGTTTAATATATTGTGAAGTCCAGCAAATGCAGTTCGCCCGGAGTGCGGTAGGCGCAGCTAAAATTTTCTTTTGTTACTGAAGTAAACATTTCAATTTATTTTGTCTAAGCCTTAAATTACTAGAAATGTTACTAAACTAGATTACAAGTTGTATCCTTATGTTTCATGAGAAATTTTGCCACCATGAATGTGTACCAGGGATGTAAATCAGCCGTCGTCAGCAGTACGTCGCCAGCTTGTATCCAAGCCAAGCCGTGACATTAAGTTGCGCTGTTTAACGTTTTAATAACAGTTGTGCGACGTCACATGCCTGTAAGACGCCATATTTGCCAGAGAAACGTTTCCGTGGCATATTTGAGAACATAATTTTTATATTCGTTTTTTAACTGATACCTGAATATTTGTTTCTTAGGTTTTCACGCACATCACTCATTAAATAAAACTAGTTTTTACGGGTTAATGCACGAAACTTTATTTATTTATTGACGTTTCGTAGCCTTTACAGGCTACGTCGTCAGATTCTGACGTAGCCTTTACAGGACGTTTACGTTTTTTTAAACGTCAATAAATAAATAAAGTTTCGTGCATTAACCCGTAAAAACTAGTTTTATTTGATACCTGAATTATAAATATCCACTTTTTATGCAGACACTATACACTAATAAATAATGTTTAAACGTTTTCAAAACTCGCCAATAGCTTATTTTGGTATAGAGATAGATGGGACCCTGAAACCAGCTGTAGGTTGCTTTTATCGTGAAAATAAAACTAGAAGGGTGAAATAGTGGATGAAATATGAGAAGCTGGCGAACAAAACGGTATAATTACGCATCTGGTCAAACTACTTTTTTTTACAGTCCGGAGGTTTCGGGCCCTTTGAATTTGAATCTCAAATAATATTTAATCAGAACTGCCTAAAACAGTATTAAAA